AATGACTGAGGAACTGGCTTGTAACAATTAATACATCCAAAACCAAGCTAGTAACATTGCATTATCACAGAGCTGACTCAGAATTTTCTCCAATCATGATGAATGGTTGTAGTCTGAATGAACTGCCTTGCCTCAAGAGGAACTTGTATATATGATCCATTACTAGACTCTGGAAAAACGGTCCACTCTTTGTTCAACTCTAGAGAGTACTTGACTCCTCCTACTATGCACTATCTTTAAAACAGTCAGATCAGACCAAAAATAGAGTATTGCTTGCATATCTAGGTTGGGACTGTTCAATCCTCATTTTCCAGACTGAATAGAGTTTAAAATATTTATGTGGCTTTTATTTTTATTTATTTTCTTCACCCCAAGCTAGGTGATGAAGCCACTAAGGTTCAAGAAATTACTGAGAGTGAAAGAATCTGGGAGAAACGTTACTGGAGAGAGAGAGAGGAAAATAACAGTAAGATTAAAGGGGACAGATGATGATGATGATTGGCATTGCATTTAAATTTTTGAAAATCAAAGTTGACAGAAGCAGGAAGCTGGAAGAGATTTCCACATGCATAGAACATATGGTTACATCTAACAATTTCAACAGTAAAATGATGAGACCTAGCTGCCAATCTAGTACTGCACTTAAATTTGTGAACTTGAAGTACCAAAGAGGAAAACACATCAGAACAATTACCATGAAAATATTTATGGAAAAGGCATAGGGAAGCTACATTACAGCAATGGGAAAGTTACTGAAGTAGAGATACCAGGTCAGTACCAATAACATTGCAGATTCTTCTTTGGATTTTCTCAAGAATTTCTGGATATATAGCAAAAGCACCAGACCAGATGTGGCAGCAATATTCAAAGTATGGATGAATGGTAGACTTATAAATGTGTAAGATTGATTTCTGGAGATAAAAAATTGTCTCGCACGACACAGTGAACCAACTTTCCTAGCAGCAGTCCTAGCAATCTGTTCAATATTATCATTCCACTTCACGTGGAAAACATGAGACTGAAAAGGTGCAGTGAGTTACTCTCCCAGAGGTAGCATCGGCCATGCTGATGGAAGGCAGAAAAGGTTCTCTAAGATAAGTAGAAGATAGCCGTTTCATTTTGGAAGTGTTAAAATTAACAAACCATTTCTTGCCCCAGTTAACAACAGATTAAAGGTTATTTTTGTGATCATCTTTTGACCTTATTGAACCCATCAGATTTACTGATTGACAAAAATAAATAATTGTGTTATCGACATAGATACTGAGTCAAGAATTTATGACATTGGGAAGGTCATTGATAAAAATTAGGGAGAAAGTAGGTTTGATGATAGAGCCCTAGAGGACACATGCATAGATGCAAAGGGATCTAGAAGAATGGCTATTCAGGGCAACTTTCATTTCATGATTTGGTAAGAAAGACTGTATCAAATCAAAAATTCATCCAGAAATACCATAACACTACAACTTGTGAAGAAGACCAGCGTGTCAAACGCTGTCAAACATTTTTGAGATATCTAAATCAATGGCCTGAGCTTCACACTTTTTGTCTAAACCTTGTGGGTGATGAATTATTTTCCACTCCACAACTACTTTCCCACAGATGAAATATTTCTAACCTCTCACTACTCTAGTGGTACTTTTATGGCAAATCTTCAGACAAGTTACATTTCTTATTTACGCCAGTTCATGCCTTCACAGCAAGGACCTACCATGTCACATAACCAGGTTTGACTCATCCTCATTCCCTTCGTATTGCATTAGTAAAGAGGAAGTTCCACTCAAACAGCTTCTTCCCCATCACTATTACCAGTCCAGATCTTCACAGCTAGGACCCACTATGCCACATACACAGGTTTGACTCATCCTCATTACCTTCATATTGCATTGGTAAAGAGGATGTTCCATTCAGAAAGCTTCTTCCCAAGAACCGTTACTTTGTGAAACAGACACCCAAGAGGATGCTTCCCTAATCACTATGATCTTAATCTCTTCAAGTCTAGGGTCAACCAATATCTATTCGACATATCTTCATGATATGCACTTTCTACTTCCTTGTCTTATGCCTATACAACAATGTCATTCAGTAACCCTCCACCTTGAGCAGCTCTTGGGCCTTGTTTTAGGTGAGCAATAGTATAGAAAAGAAAAGAAAATTCTAATATTTGGTCATTGTGGGTTAAGTTCTAAACTTTTCATCACACTCTGATAACGATGCCAGATATTCATTTTTGACTTGTATTTTTTATCTTAAATTTATTTGTTTTTTTTATTAAGTTCCAGCTTATTTTTCACTGTTCATTAGTCAGCTATGTTGATCAGAAGTAGAGAATAAACCTCAAAGCTGACTAGACCTAACACTCCTTACCCTTCAGCACCTGTCTTAACGCAACAACTGTCTTATCAATTAGGCAACAGAAGGACACCAGCTGTAGTCATTTGAAATTTAACTATTATATATATATATATATATATGGTGGACTCTCTCATTGCTGATGACAAATGAGTGCTCTGTAAAATAAAAAAGGTGCTTAACTTCTACGGACACACATGTGTCTCCCAAGGCCTGCAAGTGTTTTGAAAACTTTTAGAAAGATGGAACATGTGGTTGAACCATTTTGGTCGAGTGGTTGAAGATCAATTGCCATACATTTCTACAAGTGTACAGCAAGGCCTGCTTTACTGTGTGCAACAAAGCTACAATGGCAGGTACAATTGAGAGGAGCAATATATAATATATTTATATATATGTGCATGTGTGTCAGTTTCATACTTCAAGCAATCTTCAGACCATGTGTCACTACTCCTTTACATTTTTATATATAGGTCACTCAAGGATTAAGGGAAGTAGGAAAGAGGAAATGGGTTTAGGGCAAATGCTTTAGGTTATTTATAGTTTTGACTTTCTAGCATGAAATTGTTGATTCCTGTTTACATTGTCCCTCTCTTACTATTTCTCTCATTTGCACTGTCTCTCTCTCTCTCTCTCTCTCTCTCTATATATATATATATATATATATATATATATATATATATATATATATGAGAGTGGGTGAGAGTGGGGGGGGTCACCCTCTGGAATTAATAATAGTTTCATGCCTTCTTTGTTTTAATTAACCCCTACTAATCTAGGATACTAAAACTATTTAACCCAATAGTGTATGGCATCCAATTGTTTAGAAAGGGGATTATTTAATATTTAAAATCTGCCAGTCCTAAAATTACAATTACAATCTACAAGGTAGATTAGACAAAAAGAGCTATGGAAACTTTATGCAGTAATCATTTGAAAGCATAATTGTTATTGAATATGTGATAAAACCCTACACAAAGAGAAAGTGGGTTAGTAAGTTTTGAAAAGGCAATTCTTCAAAATCCACAGGGTGGCCCAAAACTTTTGCCCTATACAGATGGGAAAACAATGTATAAATTTTTATATATCAGAACAATTTTAGGAAAATCTATAACAAAGTGAAAAATTTTTTTTCAGGTGATGTTTCATTCTTCAGGACTTCATCAAATTAAAGTGATATTTATGTTTATCTTGATGTGATTACATATGTACACGAAGGAGAGATGCCGAAATTTAAATTTAAAATTAAAAAAAAATGTTTGGATATATAATCTAGCTGACTTCATTTAGTTTCCTTTTTTTTTGTTTGTTTTTATCACTTTTGTTATTAAATATCCCACTTTGTCATATATATGTCTATTATTAATAATTAGCACAAAGTGATAATGCCTAACAAAACACATAGCATTACTAAAATTTTACATGTTTATAGGTGAGCAGATATTTGTAAAAAAAAAAGGCACATTAAGAAAACTAGAGTGACAACAGTTAACAGATGAAGAAAACCCAAAGGACTTTTCTTCAGCTGTTATCAATATATATGCACACACTTACACAAATGTTCACTTATTTTGTATCTACCCTTAACTTAAAGAAATATCTGCCAGAAATACTCTGGTTGACCATTTTCTTGACAAAATACAACCTTTGTTATATATATATATATATATATATATATATATATGAATAAAGATAAAAGAAAAAACTTTCTTTACTGATGCATTTCATTCAACTGATCAGGGCAAATATAAAGATTTTATTTTGCGACACATATTTATAAAAAGAAGTAAGAATAGAGTTAGGTTTTCAAAATTTTTAAATTTAAGAACACTCATAAATATTCTTCAGACTAACTGTGAAAGACAAAGTAAACTATGGAAGATGGTAAGTCTTGTAATTTAATGTCTAATAAACAAAGCATCCTCCATAGTTTACCTTGACTTTCACATTTAACCTGAAGAATATTTATGAATATTCTTAAATTTTAAAATTTTGAAAAGCTAACTCTGTTCTTACTTTTGTTTATAAATACTTGATGCAAAATAAAAATCTAAAATCCTTATATTTGCCTTGATATGATAAAGTTCATCAGAAGGCTAAATCCATTGGTAAAGAAAGTTTTCCTTTTGTCAGTATTCACATTGTCTTTTTACAAATATATTTTTATTTATATCTGAACTTTTACACATACATACATACATACATACATAGATATGTGTGTGTGTGTGTGTGTGTGTGTGTTAACTAGTGTAATAAAAAGCAAATGAAATAACATGAAATGAATACTACTCAAAAATTGATAAGTTGTTGACAATGGTTCATTTAAGACATGTGAATAATATAAAAATCCTGTATAAAAATATATTGGAATAAAAAGTGTTATAATCAAATATATCCATTTGGAAAAAAATAAAATGAAAAAAAAAAAAAATATAAAATAAAAATAAAAGTTGGTTCTCTAAAATTAGAATAAAATAAAAAAAATAAAAATCCAATATTGTCGTATGTCCAGAAATTGCTGTCGCTTTCTGTCTGCAATCCGTCTAGTCTCGCCGAAGCCTAGAAGAGCAGTGGCTCCCCACGTCCACTCGCCGGGTTTTTAATCGGTAGCGTGGTTCTCTTATGCAAATAAGTCTGCTGCATAAAAAATGGCAGTAGGCGCTGCGACCGACTCTCAGAGAATGGTTAAACCCGCGAGGCAACGAATTCGCTTTGCTCCTGGTAAGTCACTGTCACTCCTATTACACTCCCCCTGATCGTATGATCACATAAGTGACAGTGAGGGGCTGGTCGTTTCACCCTTGACTTCTTTTGCGGTGGTATAACCATGACTTCCTCCTCGGCTGAATCGTCAGATGTGTCCTGGTCTGAATCATATTCGAGGGATCATTAAGGTTCAAGTCTACTTCTTTCTCGCTTTCAGATGAGGTGTCGCTGCTGCTTGCACTGGAGCTTGGTTCTTGCCATTCATTACTCCCTGACGTTGTGTCACCGCCATCATCCGTTGGTAACAATGAAGTGAGCCGTGGACATACATCTCCCACGTCGCGGTATCCCGTCGATGACTACCGACTACCGGACTGTTTTATTCCCGTGACACGACCTTTCAAAAACTTTGACGTGCAGCGTCCGCGGCGGGATTTTTACCCAAACTGCGTCTCCTTCTTTATACCGAGTCGAAGTTGCCCGATTAGGCGAGGGCACAATGTCAATTCCTTTTATTCGAATTTTGTACGAATGCAGCAGATTGGCAGGCGCAGAAGAGGCAGACACATCATCCCTGGGTGTAATGTTATACCAATACACAGCCTCCATAATAGAGCAGCTCTTTCGCGCAGCAATCCGTTTGTCCAATGACACCTCTCTACAATACCATTTCCAGATGGTTTGTACGCACAGTGCGGTTGGAATCGGACGTCCCATTCTTCCATGAATTGTTTGAATTGCTGACTGCGGAATGCAGTGTCATTATCAGCCAGGATTTCCACCGGGGGCACCACGTTCGAAAAACACCGACTCCAATTGCCGGATTACGTGTGCAGCGTCTTGCCGAACTAGTGGTCGCCAGATCGAAAACTGGTAAGTCACTTCTATTACAAATATAAAAAATATATTGGAATAAAAAGCAAGTGAAATAAGAGGAAAGGAATGATAATCAAAAATAAATAATTGACAATGATTTCTCTAAGAAATTTAGGATATTAGCCATTAATATCATTCTAAATTGCCAAGTAGCTTAAGTATGAAGGCACTAATGTCCATTTTTTAAAACAGTTTAATATCAACTGACTGCTTTCTCATTTGAAAGCTATTTCAAGGTCAAATAAGTAATATTCTCTGCCATATAAATTATTATAATCATCTTTAGAATTTTTAAATCTTGATTTTAAAAAAAAAAAAAATTACTGACAAACCATAAGTGCTTATTTCTAAGGTCAGCTTCATCAGTCATAATAGCATTGATACTCTTTAAGGATTGAACCTATTGCACCAGCTATGATCTATGAAACTAATTTTGGCAAACTTAGAAATTTATGCCTGAAAAACAAATGTGTGTCAAAATGACAGTTTTTCTATTGACACCACTATTATTTTTAACTACTTTCAATTCTTGGCAATGTTTGTTTTAAAAAGCGATGATTTGAATCAGAATAAAACCTGATGAAAGTGAATTTATTCATATTTTTTTGGGCCTTGAGAATTTACAACAAAAATATTAAACATTATTTATTTATTAGATTGTTTATTTACAAGAATAATTTTATATTTACAACATTCTAAAAAATAATATAATTAAAACTAATACAATATTTATCATTTACTACTTTATAAATAAATAAATATGAAAACATTTTTTTTATTCATAAATTCATAAATATTTGTTAATTATTAAAATATGTGAACCAACTGTAAGGAAATCTTTATTTACCATTTTATAATGTTTGAACAGATTAGCAATTAGCTGATGTTTTGCCAACCATTCCAATAAATAGTATATTAAATAAATAGCATACATAAACAATCTAATAAATAGTGTTTATTATTTTTGTTGTCAATTCTCAATAACAAAGAAAATGTATAAATTCACTTTTATATGTTCAGGTTTTATTACAATTCTAATCGTAGCTTTTTAAAACAATAAACATTGCCGAGGAGTGAAGGTAGTTAAAATAATAGTGGTGTTAAGGGAAAAAAACTATCCTTTTGATATGCCATTTTTTTGTTGGCATGAAGGTTTATGTTTGTCCTAATTTTAACTATTCACCCACAGTAGCTACACAAACAATAGTCCATCTGTATTAATTAATTTACAACAAAAAGATAACATTTTTGGAATACTTAACAAGGAAAAAAACTAAAGAATTTGGCACTATTATACTTTTCATTTTTTTTTTGTTTTTTTACAATGATGTTCACCCTTTACAAGACCTGAGAGCAACTCAAGGTAGAGGGTTACAGAGTAAGAGGCACAATTTATGGGAATGTGTGGGGAACATAACAGTTGACCCTAGACTGGTACAGGTCAAAATTGTAATGATTGAGGAAATATGCACTTGGGGGTCTGTTCTACAAAGCAATGGTTTGTGGGAAGAAGATGCTCAAGTGGCATTTACATCTCACTATTGGAATACAAAGTGAATGAGGGTGGTTCACTATAATATGCGTGGCATGGTGAGGAGTCTTAGCCATGAACGTTAGAACTGTTGGAACTAAGGAGTGTAGTTGGTTTAAATACTTTCCAGGAAAATAGCTGTAGAGCAGTGAGAGGCTTGCAATGTTTCATCTGTAGGAAAGGGGTTGTAGGGTGGAAAATAATTTGTCACCCACAAGGACATGGAGACACTTTTGGACTTTTGCACTCCTAATTACAAATTGCATGGACACTTCTCTAAGTACTGCAATCTTACTCTTCAAGTTTAGAGTCATGTTATCTATCCTTCATATCTTCATAATCCTCACCTCCCAATTTCTCCTCTTACATTCATGTCATGCACTTCATTCAGTAACCTTCTTCATTGAGTGGCTCTTACATTGACACTATTAAAAAAAGCTATTTAGCAAAGATGCAAATCAAAAATGAAAGCAATGCATGGACACACAAAAAATGATATGACATTGCAGAGTTTAATTGGAATCAAGGATTCCAAACGTTATCATTTTTGGCATCTACTTTCCATATTTATATCCTGTTTATTGGTTCTTGAAACTGAAAACACTTTTGTTAATGCAGATTTTTTTTTTTTATTGAAAACAAGTTTCCAGGCATTCACTGTAAATGTCATGCAGGGATGTGAGGGGTAATTACCACACTTTGGGTAAGATGAATTTACATGGGTCACATAGTGAGTGTCACCAGTTCATGGAGTGACAAACACTAGTTTCTATGTAGACAGCAGAGAAGCAAGACATGACTGCTCATGGAAGTTAAGAGAGCAAAGGAAATCACATGGTCTCACCAGGTACATAAAGGACACCACCAGCCTGGCTGTTTTCCCTTCAGGAAATTTTACAAGCAAGACCCTCTCACTTCTCACCCTTTCACACTGCGTGTTGTATTCATGTTAGAATTTTTCTGTGTGGGACAAATTAGTGACAAGTATTTATATATTTGTATATCATTTCTTGTATGATGGCAGTATATTAAAATCTCTTTGAGAACATTACTGTCAGCTCCCACTTGCATTGAGATCATCATCCTATCTCTCTATTCCTTTTCTCCTCACTGGTGGCAGAGGTAACAGTGAAAGCACAGTCTACTCCTAAAGAATCGTGAGCAGGAGTTACAGAGGAGTGTGTGCATTTGACATGTCTGGATGAATCCAAACCATCCTTAAAGCATGTTGCAAATCTTCATGTCAACAGTTGGACTCAAAAGTTTGTGTCCCTCCCCAAAATGAAAGCAATGCATAGACAAAAAAACAAGCTCTCCAAATAGGATGATACAAGGAGGTAAGTGGGATGCAGTCTAGACATGTTCTTTGAGAAAAATACATGTTTGTCATTCTTTTCTTTCAATTGTTCTATTTCGTCCATCATATTATGGTGTTAATATATCCTAATACTTAGAATAGGGGAAAATAAAAGAAATATTCTCTCTTTCCTTGCTCTCCCAGTTGGCATATACAAATTTCAATGTGTAGGAAATAAATATAGTTTTGAGGTTCAAGTTACAAAACTTAAATAGCACTGAGAATTTAACTCACAGTGCAAGAGAGGGTTCCTTTTTTCTATTTTTTTTAAATCAATTCACCCCAAGCAAGGCAATAATACCACTAACACACAAAGGATTACTGGGAATGAAAGAGAATGAGAAGACTTTAAAAGGAACTGTAAACCCAATCCTAAACAGGAAACAAGGAATAAACCTCTACTCCTGTTCAATAAATGGGGGAGGAGTATAGACCAGATGATAGACGAACATATCTACTCCTATTATGCTGGGGGGAATTAAGTTAATTGCTAATGTATTATGCTAAGAAATGTATTAAGTAAAAAAAATACAAAATAAAAAATTATTTTAAAAATAGAATAGTGTAACTTTATTAATCTTTTCAGTTTGGGATTTGTAAATTTCATTTCCACTTAATTACTATATCACACGCAGGAAATAGCCCAATACAGAATTTTACACAATTTTAAACTATTATAAATTATTATAATTAAAATTTTAAAAGAAAATGAAAAAATTCAGTAATTAAGTTAACCTACTTAATGAATTTGTGTGAATGAATGGCAGGAATAAAAAGGGATAATAAAGGATCAAAGAGTGACAAAAGAGAGGAAAATATGGACAAACCACATTCTGAAAAGACTTAATATTAATTTAAAAAACAAACTTACTTACTAAGGTTAATTCATCACATGATTAACTATTTACAAATGCCCTATTTATTGGTTAAAATTTGAAAATTATAGAAAAGAACACTTAGGTGAAGCTTCGTTTTTGTTATGGTCGGTTGATGTATCTTATTATTGTGAATTCCATATCAAGCAAAAATTGTTTTACCATTATGAGTCAATTTAACAGCTAATTATTTTTTGGCAGAGAAAGATAGACCATTTTTTTCAATGGTGTTACCTGTCAATCGGTATTTTATTGTATCATCACTTATCTCCCTTGATTTGCCTTTATACATTTTTTTTCTGTGGCCTCTCTTTCCTATGATACATTTTTTTCGTTTTCTTTCACTTTTGTTTCCTTTAATTTTATTTTTCTCTTTCATCCTCACGATTTTCTCAGCAGCTAAAGTAAAAAACGATATAACTAATAATAGTTAAAAAATGAAAAATACATAGAAAAAAAAAGCAAAGCTCTCTCGTTTCAACTTTCAACACAGCATATTCAAGAAATAAATACTGGTAGTCTGCAGTGGTATTTCAACTTAAATATTGCTCTTAAAGACAGGACTCATCTTCTCATGCCTCGGCAGGTGGATTTGCTTAGGTTATTTTGCCAAGAAAAGAAAAGAAAGGCCTCTTATGTCGTCAAATACGATGCTTAGAAAAGAAAACATGATACAAGTCATTTTATTTTATTGTGTATTTTTTTCTCTCGAGTAAATTTTAATGATTCATAAATTTTTTAAATTTTCCTTTTAATTTTTCAAAATGTGGTTAAAATATTAAAAAAAAAGCGAATTCATAGTTAAACAAAAATAGAACGGATATGTCTTATTTAACAAGGGAGATAACCCACTCACTTCCGT